CACACCACATTCATGCTAAATATGATAACAGCAAATCCACCAGCCACTTAAAAAGGCAACTTTGCAGGTTGTCATCGGAATCAACGTTGCGGTTCAGCTAACCCACACGTCGAGTAAGTCAACCAAATATCGTCGTCAGCGAATAGTTGTTTACTACATCGGTACCGACAACGTACTTGCTGACTGGAAGGATGCCAAACTGCAGCTATGCTTACCGCTAATGCAGATTCGATGGCAGGAATTTGCATAAATTTCATTTTTCTTCTGAATTCGAAGGTATTCTTTAGTCCTGCCGGAAAGCGTGTTTTTTCGGCCTGTTGGCGACCTCAACAACCCCAACCACAAAGTGCCAAACTTGCTGTGGAAGAGAGCAGTGCAGTCTGAAACAGCGCTTTATTACATTGTATAAGAGAACTGATCAATTTTTATTACAGTGAAGGTAGGGTGAAAACGTCCACATCGTTTTGACTTGAGTCATATTAGGCTTGCGACGAGTGCCCTTTGTAGCTAGGAAAGAAAATTGACCGATTTTTTTATGAAATGAAAACGAGAGCAGAAAGGCAATGTCCAAGGTGAATGATTTGTGGGTTAGAAGTGGCAACTAAAGATGTTGAGCAGTTCGTGGGACATGAAGAAAGAATAGTCTTGCCAGGCTACATACTGTACCGGTTGGGTTCTGCAACGGAGATACCAAGGAGTACCGTTACAGGCCAAAATTTTGGAACTTCGAGAAAATCGTGATAAGGCTTCTTCAAGAATTTTTCATTTGTCGGATGCTGTCAGTCAACTAACCAGTGAGAGTTCAGTTCATAGCATTGAAAAAACTAGGAAAGACTCAAATTTGGACTTAATTGCTGCAAAAATTGTAGCATATGCCGATTATCTATTGGCCAAAAGTTTGTCAGTTTTTGGTGAATATTATTCTGTACTAAAGTAAGCTTTAGTGTAAAAACGTTCTACGGAGGTTCATAATCTTCTCATTTTTTGAAAAGACAGTTCGTAACCTCAATTTGTTGTCTGAGTGGCGTGGCAAATCTCAACTAACTTAAATTCGTAGGTATTCCCGCACCTTTCTTGTTTTTCGTGCCGCGCTTTTATTGGCTTCTATTGGTATAGTGAGATGGAGCTATTTACTCGTGGAATTTATATGGGACTCTTAATTGAGGGCAATAGAACTGTTTGTGAACGGGTCGACAGTGCTTTAGTGACATCCTTTTACGGAGTTTTGGAAAACCTTGCTTATAGTAGAGTAAGAGACTTAAGCTTCTCTAAAGCAGTTATTTGATTCTTCTGCAGAAACTTATCGTATCGATAAAGGTTGAAACTATGTTATGGTTTACGTATAAAAATTTGCGTTTTGCGATTATGGTGAACTGCATGATCACTATGCAAATTTGTAAAGTCCTGAGTATTCGCTGTAAATGAAGCGCGTGCTGGCTTCATGAGAAAGAGTCGAATTCTCAGAAGGATTTTTTTTTTTGCTCTTGTAAAGCTCTATTAGAAGATGGTTTTCTGGACTGCGGTGCAGAAGGCGTCAGAGCTAAACGTATTTCTTCAGCAAACAAATATTGTCGAAGTTTGGAAAATTTTGGCATTCTTGATTGGAACGACCACTACTGGTGACTTTTTCATGGCTTTTTTTTTGCATATGCTGAGGTTGTTGTCGGTGCCGCTCAAAAGTGCTGCATTAAAAGGTTTTCTTCTTCGGCATTTTGTTTGTTATTCCGCAACTTTTACGACCTGTTTTTAAGAACTTTTGCTAGCATTACAGGTTATAAGTTGATTCTTATTCTAAATTTTCAGAAGTCAAAGTTTAAACTGATTTATTGAAGAAAAAAGACAAACTTTTCTTCATAAAATATTTTAGTTTTCTTAGCATTTATTGTCATACGTTGAACAAAATGTATTTTAAAATATGTCTAAGCTGGTTTAAACTATTCCGCTATAAAAAAAATTTTGAGCATTGCAGAGATTTGGCTCAATTTCTAAGTATATAGTAAATATTTTGAGCTAACTGGAGTTGTGTGCATTGCACCTCAGAAAAAATTGTTGAATAAAAAACATGCATTGCAAAGTGAAAACCATCAATCATTTTAGCTTTTATTCATCTCTTTGTCCCCAAAAGTCGTCTAATTTAACGCTGTATATAAAAAATTTTCTTTTCACTCTTTTGCTTCAAAAAGAAGGCATGAAAAAAGAAAACAATTTTTTGTTCTCTAACAGTATCAGATTGAAAACTTTAGTTATTTCGACTCACGATTACAATAAAGTCAAATTTCGTTCTATCGTAAACATATTTTAAGGCCTACAGTAATTGGCAACGAGAGAAATATCAAAGTTAGACGACAAATTAAAACTACTCTTCCTTTGTCTTTATGTTTTTCTGTTAGCAGAATAATTGCTAACAAATCTACATCAGAATATACAGTTTTTGAGCGACCCAAAGCGAGGTTATTTGGATGGTCAAATTATTTAATGTGAACTAAAAAAAAATGTAAAGTTTTTTACAAGAATTTGTAGATACAAATTTATTTGTAGTATATGCAAACAGTAATTAATGAAGTAGTTAAGAGTATTC